TGCTGAATCCCGCCATGGCCTCCAAGTGGTGAATCGTGGTAAAGCGAAATAATTGTTTTTACGACTATTTCAGGTAATGCAAGCTGATACTGACAAAATTGTTGTGTTCGCTTAGATCTTGCGACTCTAGTGTGAAAAAGCAAGCCATCGAATAAAGAAAAATCTCCTGTTTCAAGTAGAACTTTACGAGCTAGTTTTTGTGATTGTGGTAAATCACCTTTTTCTAAATATCGGAAAATATTGCAAAATTGCGGGTCATTAATTTGTAACTGTTTTATACTTTTCGGACTGAAATCACAATTTCTGAAAATTTGCAGCGATTCTATTTTCTGTTGGACAGTTTGCTCATCCGAAATAAAATTAACATCTGACAAATCGTCTACAGTTGCCGAAACTAGGCTATCATAATCGGGTATATTTGTTGAGCTTAATGCCGATTGGCTCTCCTCGACGGTATTTGTAATAAATTGATCATTACAAGGACTTTCGCCTGAAGTGTTCATCATAAGGTTCTCATCACTAGTCTGAGAAAATCTTATTTCCCCATTGGAAGATTGTATAGAATTTTCTTTTTCGGAAACTTTTGCAGTTGAGTCGGACATGTCAGACGCCACCAGTTTCTCGGCTATTGATAAGGGTTGATTCGTACGAACTCGTTTCTTTGTAAATTTGCGAGAAACACAATAATCGTTTTCCTCTGTATCGCCATCATATTCAAAGTCAGTTTGTTTGAAAGATTCACTTACTGGCCTACTAAACAAATTCTGCAAAATATCAATATTATTAAGCTGTAGCTCGTCGGTGTCACTTGATTTGTCACTACACAATAAGCTTGTAAAAGGCATTCCATTCGGTGTAATAATATTTCCGACATTTTCGGTGTGATAGGGGAAATATGGATCAAGCTGGTCCGGACTTTCAAATCCTGTTGTTGACGATTTGTAAGGCGCACGTGACAGAGCGTCGGCGACTTGCATGTCTTTACCCGGTTTATATCTCAATTCAAAATTAAACTGCTGTAATATGGCGATCCATCTTTCATAGATTGCTCCTTTTAACTGTTTTTGAAAAAGTGGCTTAAGTGCTTGGTGATCGCATTCAACTATGAATTTTTTGTCCCCTTAAATACATTGAACAGTCTAATATTGCTGTTACCATACCAAGAAGCTCTAATTTCGTGGGACCGTAAGACCTCTGCCATTTACTTAGAGACTTTGAACCAAAACGAATAACGCGTAATTCTTCGCTAGTATCTTCCGTTGGGTGGTGTTGATATAACATATATCCTATTCCTTTACACGATGTGTCAACTGCAAGGAAAAACGGCAGGTTGTACTTCGGGAACGCAAGAACTGGAGAGTTCACTAGTAATGACTTAACTTTCTTAAAAGCCTGTTCCTGTTCGATTCCCCATTTAAATTTTACAGATTTTTTCAGTAACTTGGTCATTGGGTGAACTTCCGCACTAAAATTTTGAATGTACTTTCGAAACCAGTTGAAAAGTCCAATGGCTCGTCGTAAATCTTTAACTGATGTTGGCGATGGCATATCAAGTACTGCACTAACACGATCGGCGGGAGGTTGAATTCCGTCTTTTGATATCAAATGTCCAAGAAAAACACAAGAACTTTGTGCGAATGAACATTTCTTCGGTCCGAGCTTTAATCCAGCAGTGGCAAGACGATTGAAAACTTCATTTAAATCACCAATATGATCTTCAAATGTTTCAGAAACTATCAGTATATCGTCCAAGTAACATAAACAAGATCGAAATGTTAAGCCCTTCAAAACTTTGTCCATCAATAGCTGCATGGATGCTGGAGCAGAACTTAAACCCATTGGTAAACGGAGAAATTTATATGATCCAAAACAAGTGTTAAATGCAGTATATCTTTGACTTTCCTTTGAAATAGGTAATTGGAAAAATCCAGAGCTCAAATCTATAGATGTAAGAAAAACGGGTTTTCGGTCAGAAAAAGATTCGGTTAAGTCTTGTAAATCAGGAATTGAATACCGGAAGTCTTGACATTGACTATTTAAGTACCTAAAGTCACAACAAAATCTAAACTGTGACAATCTTGTTGATTTATTTATTGAATTGTTTTTGGGTTGAGGTCTGGTTCGTTTAGATACAAGAACTATCGGACTAGTAATCGGTATATCTTCCGTTTCTTGAACCGTTGAAATAATACCTTGTTTTAGTAATTCATCCAAGTGATCACGTAGTACATTTTTCTTGTCCGGTGACAATCTATAAGGTTGCTGATGTTTGGGTTTAAAGTCCGGTTTTAAGCAAATGTTATGTTTAACAAGTTCCGTATATCCTAACCTTGGATTTTCATCGGTTACAAACAAATCCTTATACTGAATCAAAAATTGTGATATTTGCCGCTGTTCATCGGTTGATAAATGTTTCGGCAATTCAAAGTGTGACAAAAACTTGGACTCAGTTCCTTCACCTGTAGTATGACTTTTATTATCTAATTGTACATTTTGAACAAAGTGTTTGTCCTTTTCATCTGCATTAATTAACATGTAGTCTTCCGTGAACGGTTCAAAATTAGCAATAACGTCTCCACGAGAGATACGAATTAAGTCATTAGTAGGATTTAATAACTTGATCGGAACAGTTTTATGGCTATTTACAGTAACTACGGCTTTCGAAATTAGAAGTCCGCTTTTCAACAAGTGAGAACTATTCTGACACATTCCTGTTTGTCCCTGTAGAATATAGTTTGACACTTTACCCCATATCAAAAGTTCAGAATTTGGATCTACAATAACATGCTTTTGTAATTTAACTTTTGCTGTTTTATTTGAGACAGATAAACTACTAAAATCTAATACTATGTTCTTTGAAATTAAGTAACTCGTACCAAGAATCAATGGATGTGAAGATTGAGTTAGAATATACGTATGTATCCAATGTTTACCCTGCGGCACTTGTATTTTGACGGTACATTTGCCAACAATATTAACTGACTGGTTATTCGCCAAAACTATTTTCTCTGATACTGAACATATTGACGTTTTACAAGTGTCCGGCAAAAAATCATAAAAACTTTTAGAAATAATGTTTATTGAGCTTCCAGAGTCTACAAGTGCTGCGACAGATATGTGATTAACCTTGACGGGCATATGAATAAATTGAGATTTGAAACTAGTTAAATTTTCATCAGTAAATTCGCAGTCTTCAGTATCAGTGCAATAATTAGCACAGTTTATTTCTTCACGTTGACGACTTTGAGGCGGACTCCTTTTTCTGGCACCTATGGATGAACGCCCGAGGGGGCGTGCCCTGTGACCCCCGGGTTCGACTGGTTTCCCGGATTACTATGATGGTGACACTGAAAAGCACCATGTCCAAATTGCTGACAAAGTTGACACTGCAGAGTTGGACTTATTTCACCGTGACCATTCCAGTTGCAATTTGCTCGAAAATGACCAGGAGCCTGACAATTAAAGCACCTTTTTGGTCGGTTATTTCCTGCCCGACTTGAAAAGTTATTGTTGTAACGAGGGTTGTTGTAACGAGGGTTTTGATATTTTGGAGGCATTCCTGGTTTGATATCGTTACTTTGTGATTTTAATTCTGATAATGCTTTTGTGAGCTCTTTAACTTGGTTTTGTAACTCTTGAACCGGATTATTATCATTAACAACAATTGGCTTAGCAGCTGCAACACAAACTACATCGTCCTTCCTATACCCATAGGCTTCGCCCATTTTAGCTGCGGACAATGCACTAGCACTGTCTTTATGTGTACCAGCCCTAACAAAAAACGCAAGCTGTTCCGGTAAACCCTTGATAAACTGAGAGAGAATTTCGTGGTCCTTCTTCTTCAAAATCTGAGCTTTCTCAACTATCTGTCCATAAAAATCTTCCAAAATTTGACCCCTACTTAATTTCATATTTTGAAAATTTTCGCTCTCAAGGAACACGGTCGGACTTTGCCAATCTAACTCTATATACTTTTCATCAAAAATTGCAAGAAATTGTCTCCATGTGCGTTTGCTTCCCGCATCTAGTGAATTAAACCATGTTAATGCAGGGCCTGTTAAGTTAAGGTGAAAAGCGGCAATCATTCTTTGATCATCGGTATGGTCAATTTTGTGAAGAGTTGCAAATGAAGTAAATTCTTTCATAAACACCGACGCATTTTCGTTGGGATAACCCCCAAATTTGCGACAAGCAGCCAATTTTTCCATTATTGCATCTGAATCTCGAATGAAAATACCTGGTTGATTTGCCAATGGCACAGAAATTTTGGGAGTGTTTATTGTAGGAACTAAAGAAAGTAATTCGTCAAATTCGGCATCCTCAGATTCGTAATTTCGTGGCATATAAGTGTCATGAAAAAGAGCTAGATTGTCGTCACTATCATATCGGTTCATGAGTAACACTCGATCTTCTTGTCATAGAAAGTTCAAATGTAATGAGATAAATCTCACATACATAAATAAACAGTTTTATTCAAATATACAGCCATTTTCTGCCCTCACGTAACGTTGTGAGTCAAACCACGTGTTTTGTACTGTTGACAATTATTTCAAGGCTTCATTTTAATGTTTCATATGTTCATTTTGTATATATCAGGTACCAATTGTTCGATTTTAGGGTTCTCCACCATGTAATATACCTGACTTAGGTTTGGGGGACTAGAGACAAGTATAATATAAATAAAACGAAGAGCTTTCAAATTATGATCCTTTTACTTTGGATTCAAACACAAAAAGAGGCTGATACAAGTAATAATCACACCAATCACGGACAAGGCAATACAACAGTTCCGGAAAGTACGGATTCAACATACAGATATACAACATAAGGCGTCGGCTGGCGAAGCTAATGACTCTTTCCAATCCTTCCTGTATCTGCGACAGATCAGCTCCAATCAGAAAAAAATCATCAATAAAGAATTTTAAGCGTCATTATGTCACATAATGTATTTGAATTAAATTTCGTAAATTCCGCCGGATTGTTAAAAGTTGTAAACGAAATAACCACGTGACAAAAAGGAACGAGTGATCACTGGAGGAAATTAATTGGTGTTGCTTAAAAATAACTCTTGAATGGTCGCAACGATTGACATTTTAAAAGATACTTAGGTTTGTAAAATACACTGATTAAAGTTATATTAGTTTCTATGTTCATAAAACAATACTGTGATATTGACGACTTTACTTTCGCTTTCCATTGCCTCTGCATATATTTTTTAAAAAGTATGTGCTATACTCTTTGGTAGACTTAAAACGAGACATCTTTTAGGGGGTTGATAAAGCCTGTGCTACCATGGTTGATATCGATGTCATCAAGGATGGACACAACAGAATATTTGTCATTGATTGCTTCACACACAAGTAATAGCTTTTCTAAAAAGCTTACAAAAAGATTTTATTAATTTGGGTTACAAAAGACAAAAAGTTGATATCAATTTTAAGACTTTTTTCGATTTTCTTTTTGGGGCAAAATAGGAACACTGGAACACTGTTGCTGAAAATAGAACACAGGAGGGAAAAAAGGAGAGAGGGGTAGCAGTTTTTGGATTATATCTAAATTGGAGTAAAATGCAAGTTAGTCTATGATAGTCTATCATCTTGAAAGCCACTATAAATAGGGAAAATATTTTTTTGGAAATACTTTTAATAATAAATCATTTACTGCAACTTTAATATTTTCAATCGATTGTGGGTATCCGAAATAATTACGGTTGACATACTTGGGGAGGCCTGCTACGAATAATTCCGACAACAAAGGTAAGCGAGTTATACACCATTGTGTAGATAAATCAATTTAGATTTACGACAGAACAAATTTTAGTGGGGTAGACATCCAAGAAATCGAAATATAACGGAAGTTCACGACGGGGTGACATTTTTCAAAAATGCGAGTTAAGTACCATGTGTTATTTCAAGCTATATAGGAACTTTTTCAGAGACAAGTCCTGTGGTGTTAACAGTAATTATTTGGATGACCATTAGCTTTAAAATTTACAGGAATTCTTATCTTACATATATATTTGTATTACGTTTTACAGATGTTGTTGACTTTTACAACAGTGCAAAGCATATTATTGATTATTAACTTGTATTTTTCCATCACAGTTACATCCAATTAATTAAGTCATTTTTTCCCTCAGTATTGTTTTTTTTTTTGTACATTTTGCAATAATCTCATGTTGGCCCATTGTGGGTCCATTAATATAATATAAAGTATTTTCTATTTAAAGAACAAACCACAACATATCTTAATGGGAAAATATTGAAATAAAAACAAACAAAAAAACGAGCATTTCAAAATATATGGGATGATTGATAAAAGGTACATGTCCATGTATCACAGGGTGTATCTGATCTTGATGATTTCATACTTCAGTGGCCAACATTCATATTTTGAGATTAGGGAATGTGTCACAGTATTTACTAGTAAGATGTCAACCTTATTTAGTAAGTTAAATGATTATGAAGGGTACATGTGGGCTTGTTTGAATTGATCTTACTTTGAACTCATCCAATAACCACGGTCCAATAACAAGGTCTTCAGATTTGGATAGGATGAAGGGTTGATAGACCCCGTTTATGTGAGGCTTTAGTTGAAATGTTCGTACACTTTTATTATACTAGTATTGACTTTCCATGTTTTTCAATTATACAGTCGATTGTATACACATTCTGCCAAATACTGAGATTTTGGTATAATACATATCAACGAGTTCTTCCCACTAATAAATATCAGTATCTGTTTTTGTTTATACTTCAGAAATTTAACCATGTCGTCAAGCATTCTCTGTGGACCATGTCAGTATGAGGACAACATTAAAGGTGCAAAGAAATGGTGTACTGATTGTGAAGATGGATATTGCGAAGACTGTGAAAAGGTCCATAGATCTACAAAAATGTCCAGAAATCATACACTAATATCTATTGCAGATTATCAGAAAATAAAAGATGTTTCCGTTAAACAAAATTGTGAGGATCACGGTAAAAGGTTCGATCTATACTGTAGTACGCATGACAAAGCTTTGTATATAAGTTGTGTTAATCAACACAAATCTTGTCCTGACGTCTCTCCACTGGAAGAAGCTGCTCGTGATGCCAAACAGTCAACTGCTTTTGCTGACGTAGAAGATACAATTAAAGGAGCGTTGGAAAATATCGAAATATGCATCAAAGACCAAGAATCAACAAGAAAACAAGTCGAAAATCAAGAACAAATGATAAGGAAAAATATTAAGGAAATACGCGAAAAAATTAATAAACAGTTGAATGTCCTAGAGCAAAAACTAATCAACGACCTTTCAGTTAAATCTGCTAAGTGCAAATCATCACTTGAAAAAACATTAAACCAGTTGAATGTTTCTGACAAAAAGCTAATTCAGTTAAAAGAAGAAACACAGAAGATGAAAAAGTTCGCCTCAGATGTACAAGTCTTTCTAGGAACACGTGAAGTGAACATAATTGTTGCCAAGGAAACAGAGACTATCACGAGGACGATTAATGCTGCTCTTCATTTTAAGATCGAGGCAGAATTAGATTTGAATATTTCTTCATTACTAAATCGGGACAATGAAATGGGCAAGATATTTCTTCAGGAAATTCCGACAGGTTTGCAATTCAAAGATGCAAAAATTGACCAAGCTCAAAAGCAAGTTTCTGTTTCACTCGAAAGAGGTTTTCGTGACCTTCGTTTACAATTAAAACAGAAACTAAAGATATTAAGAAAGAAAAACGAGATAAGTATTAATGTTACTGGTTGCCTAACTTTGCCTAATGGTCACGTATTGATAGCAGTCCGTAGAAGTTTTGATGAACATTATAATAGTTACTTAATTGAGTATAACAAGGAAGGCAATCACATCAATGATATCCGACTCTCAAAACACCCCTTTGATTTAACATCGATCGATTCAGATCGAATTGCTATCACTTATGGCAATGTTTCACCGTTAATCAAAACCTTTTATCGATGGTTCAAGTTGCCTCTGTATGTTGAAATAAAAAACATCACACATGACAGCAGTATCAAAATTCAATTAAATAACAGTTGCTGGGGAATATCCCATCAGGACGGCAGACTGTATGTGATAGTAGAAGAAGAGGGTATATTGGTAGCTGATGTATCAGGAAACATCTTAAATACTTTGCGAATAAATACTTGCAATGTTAAATATACTTCAACGTCGAAAGATATAATATGCTACTCAGATGACGTGCATAATTCTGTACACTGTTGCAACATGGAAGGCAAAGAGATCTGGGTATTCCAACAAAACAGCAATTTTCGTCCCGCTGGATTATCAGTTGGACACAATAATGATATATTTGTAGTCGGCTGTGCATCTAACAACATAACTCTGATTCACCACAACGGCACTGAAAGTAAAATCCTACTAACTGCAGCAGACGGGCTTAACGAACCAAAAACTTTGCATTATGACAAAAATGGTAAAACTTTGCTCGTATGTGATAAAACAAATGCTGCATTGTACAACGTCGTTTTAAATATCTGATAAAAATGTATCTCAAACCGTAAACGTTACTTAATAAATCTTTAGAGGTTGCAAAACTGAAACATTTATTTTGGCTATTAAGTGTAAATGTGGAACATGGCATTTGTATTTGACCAATGGTGTCCGTCTAGATTTGGGCGTCAACAGTTTAGTTTTAGGAAACCATGTTTTGAAACTTAAATAAGAGCTATACCGATCTATCTTCACGCTGTCTCTTTACAACAGTAAAGGAATATGCATATTTATTTTTAAATTATGGGGACCTTATATTATGTTCGACAATGTCTCTTTCGTGTCTTTATAACAGGTCTTTTCATAAGTATTCAAAGTAACTAATGTCTGTTAAAGATGAACTTTTCATAATAGCGACCCGGACACATGAAATTTGTATAGTTTTAGTTTTTAGTTTTTTTCTAGACTTAAATTTTGAAATAATTTGGCTTTCATATATTATTATTTCAATTATGCAATCAATCTTTACCATGGTTGGAAGGATTTTGTCTCAAAGAAAAGAACAATCTCTTTTGTGAAACGAAATGTCAAGGTCAGTGGAGATATATCAAAGGACTGGCGAAACTCTTTACGAATCGTATCTGTTGATACGTTATAACTTTGGTGGATACTTTCTTTGTTTTTTAGCTAACCTGACCCGATTGCTATGTAAGCTGGGTAGGTATTGCCATTACTTGGCGTCTGTCGTCTGTCCGCTGTCGTCATAAATTTTATACAAAATATGTCCCTTTTAAAATATAAGACCAACTTGAACCAAACTCAGGCTAAATGATCCTTAGAGTATTTAGTATAAAGTTTTTTTTTGTTATTTCTGTCATCCAACAAACATGGCCGCCATGGCTGAAAATAAAACATTACGATTAAACGTATTAATTATCTTATATCTTGAAAATTATAAGCGATAAAGAAAATATTCCTGTTTTGACTACAGTTATCAGATGACTCCTTAATGCAGCTATTGCCCTTAAATGATGATTTTTAACTTATTTTCGTGTTTTTGCCTATTATCTCAAAAACAGATAAGTAAAATTTATAAAGGAACAAGTGATATGCAATGTGAGATCTACAAAATTCCCAATATAACCGAAACCATTAGTTATTGTCCTTAAATGGTGCTGTTTGACTAATTTTCAAGTTTTGCCAATTATTTGTAAACAACAAATATGATTAGCAATACAAGACTTACAAAAATGCTACATGTACATGTATATGGCTGAAACAAATATAGGTCACCGTACGGCCTTCAACAATGAGCAAAGCCCATACCGCATAGTCAGCTATAAAAGGCCCTGAAATGACAAATGTAAAACAATTCAAACGAGAAAACTAACGGCCTAATTTATGTACAAAATAATGAACGAAAAACAAATATGTTACACAGCAACAAACGACAACCACTGAATTACAGGCTCCTGACTTGGGACAGGCACATACAGAATATGGCGGGGTTAATATTTTTTTACTGATTTTCTTGTTTTTGCAATTACTTCGAAAACTAAAATAGATAGGAATAAACTATATCATCAATACAAGATGTACAAAAAAGCTACAAAATAAGATCTACAAACAAGCAAACATAACTGATTGCATGAAAGGTAAAACATATATAAAAATGACACATTTTTACCAGGTGAGCGATTGAGACTCTTGTTTAAAGAAAAGAACTTTGTCTTTTTGTGTTGTTTGGTTTCTATTTCATTGACGTATAACCTACATCTCATTTTATTAATGGATGTTAAGAGTTTGAGAAAAACTCTGTCTCAAAAGACTGGATTTTGGTGAAATTATCAGTTTCTGGAAAATTTCTGTTGATACGTAAATGAAATAATATTGAAACTTTCACTTGTGTAAGTCAATGTGTGCTAAGGGTAGGAATCAACCTCAGTTCGTTTTTATGACATCATTTTTATTGTCAAACTGAAAGTCAAAAGTTTTTCTCATTCTAGATCATTTTATTTTGAATATTTTCAAAAGTTTGGTTTATTTTTTGTTTGTTTGTAGATTAATACTGTTATGAATTTCTAGATCATCTAGTCAAAATTTTCATCATTTTGCACAAATTTGCATTAAAATTGCCGCCTGTTTTTATCATTTAGGTAGATATGAAAGTAGAGAAGAACATTTCATTTTTATACGACAGCAAAAAAATTTTGCGGTCGTATATTGGTATGACTTTGGCGTCGTCGTCGTCGTCGTCGTCGTCGTCCGAAGACACATTGGTTTTCGCAATCTAACTTTAGTTTTAGTGAATTGATCTCTATGAAATTTTACCATAAAGTTCAATACCACAAAAGGAAGGCTGGGATTGATTTTGGGGGTTATGGTACCAACAGTTAAGGAATTAGGGACCTAAAAGGGGCCATAACTAAGCATTTTTGTAACTTCCAGACATAACTTGTGTGTTAGTGTATGGATCTCTCTGACATTGTACGACAAGGTTCCATATCACAAAGGGAATGCTGGGATTGTTTTTAGGGGTAATTGCCTCAAAATTTTAGGAATTATGGGGCCAAAAAAGGGTAAAAAAACAAGCATTTTTCTAGTTTCATGACAATAACTTGTGTGTAAGTGTATGGATCTTTCTGAATTTGTACTACAAGGTTCCATATCACAAAGGGAAAACTGGAATTGAGTTTGGGGGTAATTGCCCAAAACGTTTAGGAATAAGGGACCAAAAAGGGGCCAAAAATAAGATTTTTTTCTAGTTCCCAGACAATAACTTGTGTTCAAGTGTATGGATCTTTATGAAATTGTACTAAAAGGTTCCATATCACAAATGGCAGTCAGCAGGGTTTAAGAACATCAGTTGTTCGACCTGCTAGTCAAATGCGTTTTGTTAAAATATACTTTTTCACTTTTTTGGTCTTTTGGAAAATGTTGTTTGTGCTGTATTTAGACCCCTCTACCAAGACATTTGTTTTGCATGCACACGTATAAAAAATGCGGTTTTTATCCAACGCAATCATGGGTTTGAACGTTGTTTTCAATTTAGACTTTGTTATATTAAAGTATATATAGGTATTTTTGTTAAGAATAAGACAAGTGCCTGTGCATACACTTATAGCAAAAGACATGTGTAGGATTGTACAGTTACAGACACTAAAATGATTGACATTTATGCGCACAGAAATTATAGTTTAAAAGATTAAAATTATGGAAACTTTCATTACTTTGATATTTGACTAGACTGTAATATTATTAAATGGACTAGATTTTCACTGAAGCCTAATACCTTAAGATGACCCACAAAAGTTCATGCAACTTATTTCCAGTGGGGTCCTTTTAAGAAGAGACTACTTGTTCACACCAAGCTTGACACATATAAATAACAAAAATCATTAAAAATTATCTCAGATAAAGGCTCAAAACCTCATAAAATTAATAAAAAAAAACAAATTCACTATAGAGATGGATTCAAATTTATCCATCAAAATGTTTTTTTGTACTTGTACTTTAAAATTATATTTTTTTTGAGCAACTTTTAACTATTTCTGGTATTTAGTTTCAATCTTTTGTCCATTATAGAAAAAAGTGGTAGATTCACAGCCTTTAATTCCAGTTATATAAAAATTCATGTTACTTGATATTGTGTTAAAAGATGTTTCACTTCTAACAAAATTAGTATGCAAATAATTAGGACATATATTGTTATAAATATTGAAGACATGATTGCGACTCTATAACTAATATTAAAAAAAAAAAACAAATTTTTAAAATGCAAATGATGTCACACTTTTTCTAGGATGTAATTGTAGAATAAATCTCACAATCTAATTTTGTGCCACTTTAAGTTTATTCTTCATTGGTCAGATATACCTTCGCACCATCATGCACATGCATAATCAAAATGACATTGATTTAGAGAAAGGCACAATGTTTTCCTAGATTATTAAGATACTCTTTGATTCTATATAAGAATAAAAGCCTTTGATTAACTTTTTCCACTTTAGAATTGACAATAAAATCACAAGTAAAAAACTTATTTATTATAATTCTCAAATATATTACAATAGTTTTGGAATTCAATAGCAATACCATTACAAGTAATAGCAAAATCACCCGGTATTAGAGACCAAAGTTTTCTACCAGGACCAAACATTATACTCTCCGTCTTTCCCAAATGTAGGGACAATTTATTGTCAGTTAACCACTCATGACATGGCACCGACATTCTGGCTAATTTATGAGAGATGACCCCAGGGTCTATATGGGAAAATTAAGTTGCAGAATCATCTGCATATATCAAAACTTTACAATCTGAGTCAATGCTAGTTTGAACATCGCTGACATAGATCAAAAACAATAGCGGACCCTGTAAGCTGCCTCGAGGGACACTACATGTAATATTAAACACTTCTAAAGTTACCCCATTTATACATGTACTTACAACTTGTTTTCTGTTTGTCAAGTAGGACTCAAACCAAGGTATAGATATAAACCCAATAACTTCCAATTTTTCACATAATATCTTACTGTGTCAAAGGCCTTCTGTAGGCTAATAGGACCATGCCCGTACAAAGACCTGGTTGTTTGAGTTTTAATGTGATCATTCAAATGAATGAGGCAAGAATCGGTTGGATAAGAAATGAATTTAAGAATTTTTCAAGTTGCTTATAGACAGCCTTTTCTAGAATTTTAGAAACAATATTTAAAATATTAACATACCTGTCATTTTCAGACACGAGTTTGTCATTTTTCTTAGATAGAGGCTTTACCTTGGCCATTTTTCGGATTGCCAGGAAACGTACCTTCGGAAATAGATAAATTTATCAAGAAAGTAATGGGAATTTTCAGAATTGGGGCTGCATCATTAAGAAACCTTGCAGGAATACCATCTAGGCCCATGCTCTTATTTATTTTAACTACTTCATAAAAACAATCCTCTGTTTTATGTTTTAGATTAAAAATTATATCTGATTTCCTTCTCTGAACATAGAAAGATTTTACAATAATTGTAGTGGCACTATACAAACCCTTTGCACTTGGTAGTTTTTCTACTAATTTTGCAGCTATAGTTGTAAAAAATGTTAAAACTTTTTGATATTTTTTTGTTATCATGACAGTTTTGCCCATCAATATTTAGAACTATATTTGGATTTGATTTAGGATGCCGTGGCTATCCCAAATGTTTAAAATTATGGCAAAGTTGTTTTGGATGTTTTTTTTATTTTCTTCAATTTCACTACTTTTATATAGTAGTCATATTTTGCAGCTTTGCATGATCTTTAAAATGATTTCTGAGTTTACTGAAATTTTTGGGTTTTTCTGAGAAAAGGAATATACTTGACGCCAAGGTTGACAAATTTGACTTTAAATGAGTTGGAACGTTTTCTAGCCCCTTATATAGCGTGTTCATTATGTATACCTCCGATAATCGCAAGTCCAGTTTTCGTTTCTGTTCGTGGTTCATTTATAAGTTTTTATTTTCTATGATTTGCCTTTAACATGTTCAGGCTTTTCTAAAAGTTATAGGCAAAAAAAAAATAAAAATTAAAGGGTTTAGTTTTTGGACTTTTTGAACGCTCCCGTAATGGCGAAAGATGGGCTTACCGGGTCAAACTGATCAGAGGAAAAGATCGAAAAACGAATCGTCAGACAGGAAGAAGGA